AACACCCCCACGGCTAAAAGGGCGAGACTATTTTGAACCCACGACCCTCAGATTGTGAGTCGAGCGCCCTAGCCACCCGGCCATGTCGGCCTTGTGATTAGTATAGTTTAAGGTGTAAGTGACTTTATACAAATCTGTGTTACATTACCAAAAAAAAAAATATTAATATATGACTTGAAAATAAATTATGTATTCGGAGAACTTTAATCCCTTTTAAGAGATCATTTTACACCTTTTTTGTGAATTTTTAGCATTACATAGGTGAATTATACCTTAGTCTCTTATTAATCATAAAAGCATATCTAAGTTTTTAAAAAAGCACCTTTTTGACATTCAAGTTCGTATTTGCGTTTGACTTAATCGCCATTTAAAACACAAATACTAAAAAGAGGAACAATTTAAAGAAAAGATCGACAAGTACTGCATTAATCTTATAACTTGTAAATATAACCAAAAGATACGGGACGTGTTTCGAATTCCTCTATTAGCTTTATAACATAGATGACATCTATCCATGTGACACTTTACAGTTTTAGGTATGTTTTCAAAAGTGGTATAAAATAGTAGAAAAAAAAAACTCTCCAAGTTCTGCTTAAGGACAAAACAGTCAGAGTTGATCAGAAGTTATTGAATTGTTGTGATTAAAATATTTAATTACAGAGAAAAGAACTAGTATCAAACTAGAATTTTAAAGAACGGAAATATTCAATGAAATAGATACATCATTTATTCAGGGCTCCCTCTTTAAAAAGCAAACTGGCGACTAATTCTCAAAAACTCACTAAACACTTGATTCGTTGTAAAAGAACTAGTTTAAAACAATGCACTAAACAGTTGGCTAGTTACAACAGACCTGATATGGAAAAATCTACGAAAATACTTGTCTAGTTGTAGCAGACCTTGCTTCGAAAGATCAACTGAACACTTGACTGGTTCTAATATACCTAGTTTCGAAAAATATACTAAACCCTCGGTTGGTTGTAACAGACATACTCTTGAACAATCTACTAAACACTTGGGTGGTCCTACTAGACCTAATCTTGAAAAATCCACTAAACGCTAGACTGAGTATATATAACAGGCCTAATTTGGAACAATTAACCAAACACTTGGCTGATTGTAATAGATCTAGTTTCGAAAGATTTACCAAATATTTGGATGGTTCTAACAGACCTAATCTTGAACAATCCACTAAACCTTTGGCTGTTTCTAATATACCTAATTTGGAGTTAATATAAAAGGATTGTGATACACGATGTCACATTTATTTTGTGTTGTTGTTTCTTTTATTTTTGTTTTTTGTTGTTGTTTTTCATTTGTTTGTTTCAGTCGTAATTCCAGTTTTGGTCATTCTTCTGTAAATGCCCCAGTAGCACAGCGGCATGTCTGCGGACTTATACTACTAGAAACCAGGTTTCAATACCCGTGTTGTGCAGAGCATAAATAGTCAGTCCATTGTGTGGCTTTGCGATTAACTACAAACAAACAAACGAATCTTCAATAAATACGACACTAGTGGATGAGAAAATGTTTGTTATTTAACGTTTAAAAAATATAATTAACCTCAGTAAAAATTGTCCAGAGTTATTTATACCAGACACTTTAGTTTGCTCTATAAGAGTGATCAGATCCCATTATTTTGTCAGGTAACAGTAGCCCAAGACTTGGCGGTGGGTTAACTGATTAGCTGTCCTAGTCTGTCAGCTCAAAATTAGGGTCCTGTATACACAGGTTTATCTCTTGTGTACTGCTGAGCGAAAATTGTAAAACAAAGAAAAACTTTACAAAAGGGGGCACCCGCCCCCAGTGGTACAGCGGTATGTCTGCGGACTTACAACGCTAGAATCCGGGTTTCGATACCCATGGTGGGCAGAGCACAGATAGCTCATTGTGCAGCTTTGTGCTTAATTACAAACAAACAAAGGGGACACCTGGTGAGAAAATAACTAAAATAAATCTATGTTAATTTTTTCATACTAAATGGATTATTCCTTAATTTTACTTTAATTTTTCTCGCAAACTGTAGTGATAAAAATATCAAATTGACCTTAGTTATATAAAGTTAAAAATATGTTCAATTGTCATATGAAAACCTAGACTAAAAACTTAAACACACATAAAAAAATTCATGCAACGAAAGTCTACGTTTGTAATTGAAACAATTCAATATTTGAAATCTGTGCCAAATACCATTTCATCATTCATAGGTTTTTAATTTAATCTTATGAGTCAAAACGTGTTTTAATCAAGGAAACGGAGAAACATCAGAGTTTTCGTTTCCTTTTCTGTGTTAATAAATGTTAATTAGGTAAGTATTAATAAATAAGATATTTTTCCCAGAAAAATATCGTAAGATTATTAAAATTGGGACAGAAAAGTTGTCTAATCAAATAAAAAACAAATCCAAGGTTACGTGGCGATGACTGCAGGAACTGAGAAAATCGAGATGAAATGAATTTGTACTTGCAATAATAAAGATAACTACATCAGAAAAGTTGACGTGGAATAGTGACTGCAGCTTTACCTGTGTGTTTCAAAACATTGAATTATAAACTAACCATACTCGTATCTATCTATCTATCTATATATATATATATTGTGGATATTTGTAAGTTATTCTAAAATCATGTTACTTCAAAGGTTTCCCAATTTTCCCCTGTGTATAAAACGTATCACTTCAAAGAGCAAAAAGTCCTAGAAACTCAAAAAAAAAAGTATGTGGATCTTGTAAAACCAATTGAGTCCGACACAGGGTTTATTTTCCAATTGTTAACTGGTCTTTATTGCCAAAGAAGAGGCCTCTCCAGAGAAATATTAATGTCAATTAAAACTATCCAACAGTGATCCCATAATAATATGCACAATCCTTATTCTGGCTTAATTGTCTTGCTATGCACAACAGAAGCTTGAGTCAAATGTCTAGGTAAAAATTGTATTCATTGGCGTTCGTATTTCTGTCTCACGAAATATGGAATGAAGTTACACACCTCTAAAGTTGTAAAACATATTTTTAATGTTAAACCGTAGGCGCTGTTGTGATTAAAGCCCTGCTAGTTGATGAAATCGGGGGTATGGCAAGTACCTGTACAATTGAACATATCACTACTGCCACCGACAAGATAATACAAATACATCACCTTTCTTGAAGTCACGGGTATGACAAACACCTGTACAATAGAATAAATCATTACTTTTATTGAAAGGAGAACATAAACCACGGCATCTATTTATGCATATGATCCTGTTAATTTTATTAGCTTCCATTTGGAGAACGATATATATATTGCAGTTATTTCAAATAGCGTAGGAATCCGTAACACTGACGAAGCAAGTGATTAGGGCGCTCGACTTGCCATTTGCGGGTTCGAATCTCCGTCACACCAAACATGCTCGTCCTTTCAGCCGTGGGGGCGTTATAATGTGACTGTCCATCCCACTGTTCGTTGGTAAAAGAGTAGCCGAAGAGCTGGCGGTGGGTGGTGATAACTAGCTGCCTTCCCTCTACTCTTACACTGTTAAGTTAAGGACTGCTAGCACAGATAACCCTCGTGTAGCTTTGCGCGAAATCCAAACCTTAAAATATATTACTGTAATTATTACGTATAAATTTGTATCTCATCTGGTTTTATGTATTTAGACTTCGGATATAACAGCTTTCAACAACACAATGTTTTTCTTATGCTAAATATTGGTTTGTATGTTTTATAAATAG